CCAACGAGTACTTGGGGCATCTACGTAAAGCCAGTAATAAAGTGCCTAGTGTACTAACTAAGACATGTCTAGACATTCTAATAAACAAAATGATCACCTTACTACTAGAGTACCTTGAGTGTCCTAATCATTTCTCGAGCGTCATACAAAGGCAAATTTTATGTCTTCCTAATTTATGTCATTTCTAGTTGTAATTATAATCCTTACAGCTGTTCTTAGTTGTAATCTAATTTATATAGTTTTTTTATGGCCTTTGATCCCATAACCATAATACTTGAGATAAGATAAGTTCCTTACCCAAATTAAGACGAGGGTATCGATATTAGGCCTTTTAGTATCGATATCGATCCAATATTAGCAGTACCAACGTGAGGTATCGATACCAAAATAGGATATTGGAATTCAAGGAGTTCTAGCGATATTGATACCCTTAATTGGAGTATCAATATTCCTATTGAGGTATAAACACTACCCTTAGTATCAATACCAAATTTGGTTTCAATGTTTGAAAAATTAGTTGAGTATCGATACCCTCACCATGGTATTGATACTCCCTTGAGTATCGATACTAAAATTGGCTACTGGAATTTAAAATCTAAGGATGGTATCAATACTACCTTTTGAGTATCGATACCAGATGAACAATATCTTACTCTCGATCAAGTTACTTTACTAATTTTAACTACACAAAAAAATATTGGCATTGTTCATTTAGTACCGATACCCAAGCCTAGAAATGCCATGATTTGAGCACAAAAATGTAACCTAACATTACCCATTTGCCCCTAAGGCCATCAGGTAATGTTTAAGTCTTATGTAAGTTGATAAGGGTTATAAAGAGTCATTTTCATGCTTTATAACATCATAAACTAGAATTTACCATGAACATGCTCACATGCTTCATAACTAATGCAAGCTAAGAAAGGGCACTTGGTGATCCAAAAATGGTATAGGGAAGCTAGAAATGTGTTACCTTAACTTTTAAACTGATGAAAACATCTTCAATCAACAAATAACTAACTTCTCCTTACCCTTGTTTTTGGAACCTTCTCCAATCTCTTTCACTAATTATAACAAGGGAAATGAGTTACTAACTCGATTAAGGGACCAAAATGAAACAAAGAACACTTTCCTAAATCTAAATATACCAAAAACGAGCCTAGAAATATCTAGTTTTCTAAATCCCAATTAAACTCCCATCTATGGCCAAACCTTATGTTTGAGAGATTGAACGAAAGCTTGGAGTGAGGAGATTATGATTTGTACCATGGAAATTTCGTAATAAGCTTGTAGGTCACCAAGATTTCACCTTTACTAAGTTTTCTTAAAGGAGAAAAAAATGAAGATGAAGAGAAAAGGTAGGGGATAAAGAACTAATAAAAATGAGAGAAATAAGGAGAGTGATTCAACATATTACATCATCCTCAATAAAGAAAATCAGCCTTTGAAATAAAAATGGTATAATAACCCTTTTAGTCCTTCCTCTTCCAATCCAATGCTAAAAATACCCCTTTATGCTTCTATTTGGGCCTAACCCAAGCCCAAACCCACCCTCAAATGGTCCAAGCTTTCTTATAAGTCTAGTGGGCTTATTTAAATCTTCTCGGGTTAGCCCAAATCTACTAACCCGGGATTAGGGGCATTACAATTCCAATTTAAAAGGTTTTCTATAACCATATTCAATACATATATATTTCTTCATATTTTTCATATATGATATACATATATCCTACAGAACTGGAGGACTCGACTCAAACTTGAAAATCAATTCACTAATTACCAAAAAAGTTTGAGTTATTCACGTTCTATTTTGTAACTCGACTCAAATTTGAAAATTTTTCGAGTTGAATTTGTAAAATTTTTGAGTTTGAGTAAAAAAGGTCAATTTTTTATAAAGTCGAGTTGAGTAAAAAAAAGGTCAATTTTTTATAAAGTCGAGTTGAGTTTTTCATACTCCTATTTATATCAATGTTTATAATTAAATTTTAAAAGATCTTGTATCGTATACATAAAATTTTAGGTCAGATGTAAAATCAGGTATCCTTAGTGATTAAAATGATGGTTGTTATCCCTAGAGGTTCTGAGTTCGAGCATGACGTTTGTAGTGTGTCTTGAACTTTCATTATCAAACAATTGAGAGTCTTTTGAATATATACTATCTTGTAATCATGTCATACTAATAAAAAGATTGGTTAGTTATAGAAATGTAAAAACGTTAACTCAAAATCAATGGATTGATTTTATTTAATTTTAATGAAATTTACCTCTTTAATTTTCTTAGTTTTATATTAAAGAAAATATATTATGTCAAATATATTTTTATATTATAAAAATAAATAATAAAATATTTATATCAAATTCATCCTTTCAACTGATTAATCAATATAAAAGTTTTTGTATATCTATATATTCTTCATTAGTCTCTCCTAATCTTAATTAGATTAATAAATATTTGTAGGATCCAGTTTTGGTTGTAAATTAGTTTAGTCGAGTTCGAGTATTGTGAAGCTCGATTCTACTCAAAAACTTTAAAATGAAGTTTGACTCGGCGTAAAACTTGCGAGTCTAAAATTTTTAAGATCGACTCGAACATAAAACTATGAATTGGAGTTCGTAAAAACTCAAAATGAAAAAAATTTTAAACTTAACTCGATTAAAGCTCAAACTCACACTCGAACTTGAACCTTAAAAACATAAAAACCTTATACTATATTTTAAAAAAATCGACACATAAAAGTTAATATTATTAATAATTTATTTTTACAATAAAATTTTTAATATATCATATTTTCAAGTTTCTCGTGAATTTTTCGAGTCGAACATTAAGTAACTCAAGTGATCATTGGTTTGATTAACGGATAACATTAATCATTGAAGGATCACTTGTTTAGTATTATAATCTTGGCATAATGTTAAAATAATTTTGAATATTTGACTATATAATTATTTTTTCTCTTATTATTTTAAAGTGTTTTATTTTTTAACTTTTTAATTTTTGTTAAAATAATTATTTTATGAAAAATATTAATTAATTAACTTTTAATATTTTTTAGTGATATAACATATTCATATATATTCAATGATTAATTAATTACTATTATCTCTTGAGTTCTCGGGTTTGAGCATCATATTTGTAAAGAATACAAACGTTTTTTTTCAAATGATTAAGAGAGTCTTTAAACAAATACTACCTTATAATCTCATATTTATAAAAGTAATGATGTAATGTAATAATATCACATCAATAATTTTTTAACTCAATTATAATAAAAATAATAATATATAACCCTTAAATAAAATCTCTTGATTTATTATAATACTGTTAAAATTAATTTATATTAATTTCAAAATCTGAAATAATTTTTACAATCATTTAGTTTTTTTTAATATTTATAAACCTAGATTTCAAGTGCCGATGAACTACAAATAAGACTATAAACTTATTTTAATATCAATTGGCTTAATATATAAACTTGTTCTAATATAAATTTGCTTAATATAAAAAAATGTCTAAATTATACTTACAATTAAATTTTGGTGTTTAAAGAATTGTTTGTTATAAATAAGTGGCTAATGTTTTATCCGTTACACTTTTAGTTGTCTACTGTTAAGTGATTTTTTAATAAATACTTTTAAATAATATTTTATTTAAAAATTAAAAAATATAAACGTGACACGTGTCACTTAACAGTAGGTAACTAAAAGTATAATGGAGAAAACATTAAACAACTATTTTTAACAAATTAATTTAAACACAAAAAATTAATTTTAAATATAATTTAAACACTTATTTTTATATTAAGCCATATCAATTCCATTCTTAGATTCAAACTACACATATGCTTGTCTCATGTATAGTACTTTTCATGTAAAAAGTTTTATTTTTGTATATGATATATATATTATATGTATTATTGATATTCCATTAAAAGTTGTGTTATTTTGTTGTGGTATATGGAAATGGTGGGTTTAAAATTTTAATACTATTTTTGAACAAAATAAGTAATGTTTTTTATGTTATCTTTTTCGATACCTAATATGTTACAATTGTTAAAGAATCATTAACTTACATGCCTCACGTACAAACAAAAATTAAAAAAAAAACTTAAAATTATCAAAGACCCCAAACTTTTATAAAATTACAACAAAAATTAAAATTTCTTAAAATCCTAATGGTAACCCCTTAGCATCGTCAACTATCACTAACATTGTCAGTCGATCAAACTCTCAACGTTGTACAACATTGTCAGGTGTTTAGTTTGATCACACAGAGTTGAAGTTTCAGTCGGTTGGCGACATTGGTGCCAACAGTAAGGATATTGAGAAGGATAAGAATTATATTATGATTGAAATTTTGAGTAAAACTCAAAATCTTAATTGAAAAAGGACACATATCAAAATAACAATATTTTAGGGATATTATTGTCTAAAATGAAATTAATTGTGCAATACTTTAGAATTTAAAAGTAATAGATTATTATATGATAATGATATTTTTCGTGAACTAAACGCGATAATAAAATTCTGAAAAAGATTAATCCTTCGTAATAATCATTTCTGTAAACAAAATGTTCCCTTAGAGTTTTTTAGGAAATTAGTTTTTTTAAAATATTTTTTAATTTTATAATTAAATAACATGATTTTTTTAATTACGATATAAACACTTAAGAAAACAAAATACAAAACGTACTTTGGATAATTTTTTTGAACAACTAAAATTAACTTCAAATACTTAATTTTATATTAATAATATTAATTACATATAAAATATAATTTTTTCAAATTAATATGAGCCAAACTCCCTGATTTGTTTTCTGGTTTTATGAAACAAAGCTGGGTCCGTAACGTGGCACAAGATTGGCCATAAAAGTCATCGAATCTCCAATGAAATTAATTTCAGCACAGAAATCGAAATCTATCCCTTCATGATCCAGAATCCAATCCTCACTGTCTATTCTCCGAATCCAACGATCATTTCCCGCTCATAACCTCAAACCATATCCACCCTTCTACTGCAAAATCAGAAAACACTCTTAACTTCGCTTGGTTAGTTGCTGGCATTTCTCATAAAAAGAAAAATGAGCTCCATTGCTTTCAAACCCTTCACCGGCCTCCGCCGTAGCTCCGCCGTTCCCTGCCCCAATCCTACCGCCACTCTCACCAAACCCGTCGTCAAATTCCACGTGTCAGCCGCCAAGAGGTCTCCAAAACTAAGCAACCGCAACCTCAGAGTAGCCATCATAGGGGGTGGCCCGGCAGGAGGCTCGGCCGCCGAAACTCTGGCAAAGGGCGGCATCGAGACGTTCCTAATCGAACGCAAACTCGACAACTGCAAGCCCTGCGGTGGAGCCATCCCGCTTTGCATGGTGGGTGAGTTCGACCTGCCATTGGACATCATCGACCGGCGAGTCACCAAGATGAAGATGATTTCTCCTTCCAACATCGCCGTCGACATCGGGCAAACGCTGAAACCCCACGAGTACATCGGGATGGTGAGGAGAGAAGTGTTGGACGCTCATCTGAGAGACAGAGCTAAGGAGAACGGCGCTAACGTTATAAATGGGCTGTTCTTGAAGATGGATATGCCCAAGAGTTGGGATGAGCCTTATGTTCTGCATTACACCGAGTACGACGGCAAGGTGGGAGCTACGGGATCTAAATCTACTTTGGAAGTCGATGCTGTGATCGGAGCTGATGGGGCTAACTCTCGTGTTGCTAAAGCCATTAATGCCGGAGATTATGAGTATGCCATTGCATTTCAGGTATACACTTTTTTTACCCTTTTTTGAGTTATTTGTTGTTCAATTGCTTATTTTAGCAGAGAATCCATGGATGAATTGATAGAAGTTAGGGTCATAATTGAACATCCATTCACATAACATGGGTGATTGGACCTGCAAAATCTAACCATAATACTAAATTGCGGCTACGGCTACGGCTACGGTATCCCTTCTGTGAATGTTACGGACTTTACCTTACAAAGTGATTTATTTCATAAAAATAACTATGATTTAATATTGTGGTTTGCTGTATCGACTTGATCTTGAAATACATTACGGTAGTTATAATTAGAGGTGCTCACAAAATCCAGATAGTATAACAGGTTTGGGAAAAAATTGGACGATCGAATTTTTTACCTGATTAAAAACCGGTTTGAAAAAAACGGATAAAAACCGTTTTTTTATCCGAAAAAAATTCGGTCTGGGTTTTAAAAACTAGCCGTTAATATAGCCTTTAGGAGGTTTTTTGACCTTTTTTTCTAAATACACCACTGGTTTTTTTATATCCGGTTTTTTTTTAAAAATCAGTTTTTTTCAAACCGAAACCGGTTAGGATCCGAATCGGTTTTTTTAAAATCTGGTTTTTTGGCTAGATCGATTTATTAACCGACTTGGTGCATGTCTAGTTACACTGTATTGCGGCCGCAAGCAATTTATACTATGTACCTATCCTGATTATTGGAATGTTTATTTTTTATATATATACGTGTGTGTGTGTGTGTGTGGAGTAGTATATTTGATATATCTCTTTAGTTTGAAAAAGGGTTTGACAAATCTCAAAATAGTTCATGTGCAAGGTGAAGTCTGAAAAAGTTGTTAGAAAATGGGTGTTTTACTTTAGTTGTAGTATTTCAATAAATGATTACGCTCAAAATCGTTCATTATGGGGCTTCTTTTTGCAGGATTGTTTGTTGTGCATTATAATTATAGAAAAACACTAATATATGCAGTTAAATATATGGTTAAGTGAAGAACATGTGTTCGGTACACTTTCAATCATTTTTATATGATGTTCAATTTCTCCTACATTCATGAAACCTCATTGTGATTGCAGGAGAGAATCAAAATCCCGGATGACAAAATGGTGTACTACGAGAATCTTGCCGAAATGTACGTTGGAGATGATGTCTCGCCGGATTTCTACGGTTGGGTTTTCCCCAAATGTGATCATGTTGCAGTGGGAACCGGCACGGTGACTCACAAGAGTGACATCAAGAAGTTCCAGCTAGCCACTAGAAACAGAGCAAAGGACAAGATCCTTGGAGGTAAGATTATACGAGTCGAGGCACACCCAATCCCGGAGCATCCTCGTCCACGCAGGTTATCCGGGAGAGTAGCCTTAGTTGGAGATGCTGCTGGATATGTGACGAAATGCTCGGGTGAAGGCATCTACTTTGCAGCCAAGAGCGGGAGAATGTGTGCGGAGGCCATCATCGAGGGGTCACAAAATGGGAAGAAGATGGTAGATGAAGGGGACTTGAGGAAGTACTTGGAGAAGTGGGACAAGACATACTGGCCAACATACAAGGTATTAGATGTCTTGCAGAAGGTGTTCTACAGATCGAATCCGGCTAGGGAAGCTTTCGTGGAGATGTGTGCTGACGAGTACGTTCAGAAGATGACATTTGACAGTTACTTGTACAAGACGGTGGCGCCCGGAAACCCATTGGATGATCTCAAGTTGGCAGTGAATACCATCGGGAGCTTGGTGAGAGCCAATGCACTTAGGAAGGAAATGGAAAGGTTAAATGTATGAGATAAATTATCACTAGTTTCGGTTATTTCTGTTAAGTTAAACCTTTTGAGAATGACGTTTAATTCTTGCTCCAGGGAGAGATTATATTATGTTTGTATTTAGAAGATGAAGTTGCACTTTAATTTATTACTATGTTCAGAATATATTGTATGCCAATGCCATGAAAATTTATATGATAATTTCTTTTTGTAAAAATTTACACAGTAAAGGTACTCCACCATATATTATTAATCAATAGCTCCAAGTATTTATACAAGTAATGAATAGCCAATTACTTGTAACATGCAAACTCTAACTCTAATGATTAACTAAATCTCAGCAATAACTAATTCTAACACTCCCCTCAAGTTGAAAATGTAAAAAACAGTTCTAAAACCCAACTTAGAAACTAAATAATCATGCTGTCGTGATACAAGACCCTTTGTGATGATGTCTTCAAGATGTTCAATTGATGCTACATGTACTGCATGGATTAATTCTTGTATCTTTTCTCTAATAAAGTGACAATTAATTTTGATATGTTATCGCTGCCGTCGCCGCCTTCCCCTTCCGTTGAACTCCTGTAGCTCTTCTGCCGTAATACATGCTTACTATGACAAGGCCATTTCCAACAACAGACTAATTTACATCCTGGGTCACATAATATTGGTAGTGATGTGGGCACCCACATTGCGCTAAGAATACAAAGTTTCTCTATGGTCGAAGCTGGGAGAGGAGAAAATGGGGACAAATCAAGGGTTAAGAACTTGGAGTGAATTGATAATTGAAGACGAGAATGAAAAAAAAAGAAGGGGAAATCGACGAGACTTACCTGTAACCAGAATGTTGGTCAAGTTCGGATCAGGCCACTAACAATTATAATTGATGGACCAACCCAAATACAAATGGAAAAGAACAGAAGTGGGGTGATGAAGTAAATGAGCTAAACATTATATCAACCTAAAGGACATGCATGAGTCATTAGATTATCGTTAGATGATTGTTTTGTTAGTACACATTACAGCTGTAATAGGGTGCATGTACAAATATAATACCTGGTACTGAATTTAAATTATCACTATATTGAATTAAGTTATCTTTCCGGAAATCTCGTTTCCTTTTCTAAATCTTCTATTCTTTTAATCTCTGTTTTTATTTTCTTCAATTATCGTTCTTTGATTTTCTTGGCTTCATGATAAATTGATAATCAGAACCACACCACAACGATTTCACCCAAACAGGCAGGCACAAAGAATTTTCAAAGATGGTTTCAAAGGATGGATGGCAACAATGGGTAGAATAGAGGCTAAGCTATAGAACAAAATAAGTGCCTCTCTAGAATATTGAAGATTTTAATGTAAAAAAGGAGTTTAATCTTCCTATCGAGATGTTGATTTTGTGATTCAAGCACAAATAAAAATCAACATTGTTCATCTTAAATCTATACAGCAGAACCATACCACGGAAAATGACACAGACTATTATGATGGATGATAATTATAATAAGAACAACTACACCGTCTGTACACTTGAAGAAACTTCAAGGACTAAAATACCCAAGATAAAATAGGAGATAAAGTGATCATTTCTGCAAATGTTGAGAGTACTTTTATAACAAGTAAATAGCATATGTGATCTTCCGACTATAGGACATTGTTTTTTTAGTACACTAGCTATTAAAAATTACAAAATGATCACCGATTATAATACGTTGTTTTATTGAGTCATCGACTATTAAAAGTTACAAAATGGTTACTCGATTATCCATATGCTCCAAAATCGTTATTTTATGTTAAAAAGTGACACATGTCTGAGCTAGACGTTAACTTGCTAACTGAGATATGATAAAATTATATTTTAATAATGTCTATAAGCACCGATGTTTCTTTCAAGCACTGGTTTGTCAGTATAATGTTTCAAGTACTAGCTCGAAGATATAATGTAAATGGAGATTTGATCCACAAAATACAACTAAAATGATTTTGGGATTAGATTTTATCATATCTCAGTCAATAAGTTAACGTCCATCTTAGATGACCGTAAATTTTTTAATGGAAAAGGACGAGTTTGAAATGTATGAATAGTCAAATGATTATTTTTGTAATTTGTAATAGTTGGAGGACAAAAAAAGTAGTGCTCTATAAGTAAAGGATCATCTTATAATTTTTAATAGTCAAGAGACTAAGAAAATAATACTTTATAGTCTAGGGACCATGAATATATTTTACACTTATAATTATGCAAATTTTTTGATTGTAAAATATAAAAGGGTAAATTAAAAATTTGGTAACTGAACTTTACTTTGTATCCTATTCACTCACTATACTCTAAATCTTTTCAATTTCCTCATTAAACTTAATACATTGAGTTTTTGGTCACTCAACCGTTTCCTCACTAACTACGTTATAAATAGGATTTTATATAGATATAAAATGATGTCGTTTTGGTAAAATTTTGTTTTCCTAAAACGGTTTCGATTTGACGCCGTTAGCTATTTAGAGACAGAGTGACTAAAAAAATAAATATATTAAGTTTAATGAGGAAATTGAAAACCTTTAAAATTTAATAAGCAAAATAAGAGAGAATAAAATTTAGTGATGCAATTTGTAATTTACCCGATAAAAAATTACATTTCTATCCATCGAGGCTCTAGGGCCAGCTGTGCGACTATATATTGAAACTTGCGTAGCTCTGCGGATTAGAATATTATTGTTATCGGCTTCGATAGGTTCCCAACCAAGCTTGCAAATTTGCAGGTTCATTTTTTTCTTTTCTATTTTCGTATTTATTTATTTTTACTTGTTCGATTAAGTTGGATACTCATGTTATTTCTATTTTGATGGTCAAAGAAATCTTAGAAATCGATACGGTTTGAATTTCGTCCTTTTTTCTTATGTAATTTTGTGGTTACCTTTATCTGTTGATTTCTTCTCCTTTTTTGGGATGAAACATGATATCATGAACTTATTATATCATTTTATCTGATATTGTAATCAGAATATATTAAAATAATTATGTTGGGATGTTTTCATTTTTTGATAATTTTTAATTGGCACTTTTAGTTATCTTACCAAAGTATTTGTGGATTATTCAACATCTTTGTTCTTAGTTTTGATGTCTATTTGTTTATTTAAAGTTGTTGATTTTGATGGCTCTTTGAAGAATTAGTGCATCATCCAATAATAATTTGTTTCAATTATTTTAAGATAATTTTGTATAAATAACTTAGACATGTTACAAGTGAAGGCATATCCATAATTTATTGGTGTTTGGTTTTTACCTATATATGATGGTTATTATGATTTGATTTGTTTAGATCTTTTATTTGATAAAGTTGACATTTGAATGATTCATTTTGTAATTGATTTCCCTTTGTTCTAGATTTGAATAGTTTTGATTTGAGTTATAGTTCGGAATAATCTTGTAGCCTGCTGCTTTCTTGGATTCTACTTCATCTAGTGATGGCTGACGGTCACGAGAGTGACAAAAATATTGAGATATGGAAGATCAAGAAGCTGATTAAAGCACTTGAAGCTGCTAGAGGCAACGGCACGAGCATGATATCACTCATAATGCCTCCACGTGATCAGATTTCAAGGGTTACCAAGATGCTGGGAGATGAATTCGGGACTGCTTCGAACATCAAAAGCAGAGTCAACCGTCAATCCGTGTTAGGTGCAATCACATCTGCTCAGCAAAGGCTCAAACTTTATAGTAAGGTTCCTCCCAATGGTCTGGTGCTCTACACAGGAACAATTGTGACTGAAGATGGGAAGGAAAAAAAAGTCACGATCGATTTTGAGCCTTTCAGGCCTATAAATGCTTCACTTTATCTTTGTGACAACAAGTTTCACACAGAAGCACTGAATGAACTTTTGGAGTCGGACTATAAGTTTGGTTTCATTGTGATGGATGGTAATGGGACTCTTTTTGGGACATTGAGTGGTAATTCCAGAGAGGTACTTCACAAGTTCAGCGTCGATCTTCCGAAGAAGCATGGTAGAGGAGGACAATCTGCCCTTCGTTTTGCTCGGCTTCGAATGGAAAAACGCCACAACTATGTGAGGAAGACTGCTGAACTTGCCACACAATTTTTTATCAATCCTGCCACGAGCCAGCCTAATGTATCTGGATTAATACTTGCTGGTTCAGCTGACTTCAAAACTGAGCTGAGTCAGTCGGATATGTTTGATCAGCGGCTTCAGGCTAAGATTCTGAACGTGGTTGATGTCTCTTATGGAGGAGAGTGGTTTCAACCAAGCAATTGAGCTTTCCTCAGAAATTCTGTCAAATGTGAAATTCATACAGGAGAAGCGCTTGATAGGGAAATACTTTGAGGAGATTAGTCAAGATACCGGGAAGTATGTTTTCGGTGTTGATGACACACTGAAGGCATTGGAGATGGGAGCTGTCGAGATACTTATAGTGTGGGAAAATCTGGACATAAATAGGTATCAGCTGAAGAATAGCACTACTGTTGAAGTTTTCATAAAACATTTGAACAAGGAGCAGGAAGCTAATGAGAACAACTTCCGTGATCCATCCACTTCCACTGATCTGGAGGTTATAGAGAAGATGTCGCTTTTAGAGTGGTTTGCTAATGAATACAGGCGGTTTGGTTGTAGTCTTGAGTTTGTTACAAACAAATCACAGGAGGGTTCTCAGTTTTGCCGTGGGTTTGGTGGTATTGGTGGCATCCTTCGATACCAACTGGACATGAGATCATTTGATGAATTATCTGACGCGGAAGTATACGATGATTCTGAATAGCAATCAATCAACTCAACCCCATTGATGGTGCAGAATAATGGGGTCAAGAGCAGAGCCTGCACCAGCGCTCGAGCTGTCGTGGATACCGCTGCTCCTTAGAATGCCCCCAAAGTTCTCCAAGCATCTAATTAAGATTTGGGTTTTGAAGAGTTCCATTTCTACAATGCCCTTTTTACCCATTTTTCATCCCATACTTGATGCCCATACAATGTTTATGCGGTGATGTTGCCGGAAAGAATGATGAATGGCTAAAATGTGTAGAGGCTTAGCTGGGAAGATATCTTAAAACTTGCTGGAGATTCCATGGGAGCTTCCTATTTTCTACGACCAGGGCCCTGCATGTATTAAAAACTGGTACTTCATGTCTGTGGTTATTTGCAGCTGTTTATACT